TAAAAGGTCGGCAACGCACTCCTTCTTTGTTGTGGGTGTCCATGGGCGACGCTGATTGCTTACCATCAGGTAATCCGTCTGCTCGTTTGCCGTCCTATCACATAAAAAAAAAAAAAAATATGCTTGGAAAATCATCCAATGACTTCTGCCGCCCTCAGTGTCAGATTCTTACTAAATAAACACCATCTCATTCCTTGCTTTCCCCCAGGCCCTAGACAGCGGTACGTTATTGCTCTGGCCCACAGCATGGTTTGAATATCGGCTCTTTGAGGCGCGCGTTTCTGGTTGAGCTACCCTTACTCGCCGTCCGCAATGCTTATGGTGGCTGAAGATCGACACGCGATCCCTGACACCCGAAGTGTCTTCTCCTTTGCATGCATGACTGCTTCGCAGAAAGAGGAAAGAGCTTCCGAGTTCCTCTCGGTCCGTGCCGTGGCCTCGACAAATGCCAGACGCAACAGGGGGTCTGGCCTTCGATTGGAGAAGAAGTTGCTCCTCTTCGCCATTAGCAGCGCCATCTACCATACAATAACTGGAGCAGTAAAGGATAATGATGGCTCTTTGAGGTTTAGATATTAAAAATTTGATATACCCAGGCTAGGCCAGCTTTTCAACTGATACTTAAAAAAGGGCCAAGTGCAATTTTGACTTACCCATAAAGGATTCCTTAGGAACATGTAACATTGTATAAATATTCTTGTAATTCGTGATAACTGTAATCGATATATTAACAATAATTTTGATTAAATTTCAGTTTAAGATTTTTGACCTATTAAAAAACGGCGTAGGTACTAGAGCTCGCTTTTCTTAATAAGCGGCTCATTTAAAACCGGCCATCATCCCTAACATGTATTGCAATAGTAATTAATGGCGGCTGCATAAAATGGAGCTTCGAAATAGTTAATTTTGTCCTAAATATTTGTATGAATAGTTGAATACGCATTGAAACCGCATGCAGGTGTAATTAGCTTCAAATCATGTGGTTATCGGTTATTATATGCTCCATTACCGCAATCCAATCAATGCGCTCGTTACTCCCTGATATGGTAGGCAATAGAGCATTCAGAATTTAAAAATAACTTTTATAATAGTACCTTATTCTATTCACTCTTAGAACGCTTATCATGACTTCTTCGGTCTTTTTTAATGAAAGCAAACAAGCTTCTGTTGGTTAGCTATCGACACCGTCCAAGGACATACGCCACGTCACGTCACGGTCTTTTGGATGCTCATACTTCTGTGCGAATAGACCTGCTCGACCGGAATGATACCACGGCCTTACAGAACACCTGCGTGAAACAACACGTGTGTTTAGCAGTGAGTTCCCCCTCCCCCACCAACATCAATCCCCAAATCCTCTTAAATCCCTTATAACTCACAAAAGTTCGGTAACGCTCTTGTATCAACTTCACTACTTTGGTATAACGAGTGTTCACGGGTGCCGATTGCTTTCCATTAGATCTGCTCGTTTGCCAAACTAACTAAACATAAAAATAGCATACCACTCATACGCACCTACACAAGCTATAATAATGAAGACCGAAATTCAAAAATGATAGCCAATGTTGCTGATAGATGCTAATGTTGCTGGCGCGACGTATGTGCAACAAAGAATTTTCATAAAACCGTAATTCAACTACAGTGATTGAACAAAAGACCTCATACTAACTACATTCATAGTACCATCATAGTAGATATTAAATAAATGCAATAAAAAAATAAAATCTTACAAAATTGTAAATTACATAATTATCACGAAATTATTATAGTATTAAATTTAAGCAAAAGATTATTTATCAGTGTTAAGTTGCCAGATTAAAATTTATTTACGACCTCATTATACTTAACTTATTAGAGATTCATTCTTAAAGGATTAGAAGGTTAATCTTATTTCCGAAGAAATAATTCTTATAATATTATGATTAATTGGAAATGTTAAAATAACTGTTAATTTATTTTCAGTATTAAAGCTACTCTTACAATGATATCAGGGGTTTCCAATCGATCATAATCTTATGAGGAACTCTGTAATACAATTACCCGTCTAACATAGAAGTGGCCATAGAAATGTAAAACACTTACCAAAGTTAAACGAATATCCATTGAAATTAAAATTAATTAAGATCTTCGAGTTTGTATCCATTTACTTGCTCATAGAAACTTTAAATTAGGCCCGGTTATAGCATCTTCGTGCTACAATGAATTTATTTGAAGTTCAGATTATACTCAGTCCCTTTTTCATAATAAGCCGTTCGTAAAGCGAGTGAGACAACGATACTTGGATGACTTTAAGGGTTTTACATTTTGAGAACTTTCTAGAACAAAAACATTTGACATAATTTTAATTATGAAAGTTTTTCGATCGCTAACACACTTTATACTGAATGCAAAATTTGCGCAGCGTCAAGGTGGTACAAATATTTTTGTGCTCCTTAATTTATTGTTCTGTTTTTGGATATAATGTGCATGTATGTGAAATTGTAGGTACCTATATTTGTAAACACACCCATTTCACAGGTGAAAATCCAAGCAATGGAATAAGTTTAAAAAATATTACAGTGCGGCCGACGTATCTTGGCGACTCGGCTTCAGGATCTTTGTGAAAGATATTTTGTCAAACAGTTTAAAGTATCTTTAAAACATATAATTATGCAAAATTTAAATTTAATGCACTGATACAAACGTATATTCTTAAAATTATTATTCACTGCCTGAACTTTTTTTAAGGTTGTAGAACCGTCCAAGGACACCTCTTGCCCCACCCGAGTCGAACTATTAGTACTCTTAACTAAGACCTTCCCCTTCGCGCGGGCTAGTTCTACTAGTAGAATCAAAACTCTATTCTTTTAAACTTTCTAGTAACACCGAAATTCATTCTAAAAGCGTGCGCCGTGTACCGGCCACCTTCTGTCAGAGGCTAGTATTACCCGCGATAGCACGTAATTTTTTTATGAAACCACATTATATCCTTGAGGAACATACATCCACTACTACCAATCAATTTTAAACAAAAATAATAAAAAATAATTCACTCCTACATTTTGGACACAATTAAATAGTAAAAAATAAGAACTTGAAAAAATAAGAATTGTAAAGTCATGCTTATTTATAGCGGAGGATTTGCCTTCAACCATCGATCACTAATAAAGAACTAGATACACAATCCCATACAAAAGTTCGCTTCAAAACTGTCGTCAACTGTATTTAGGTACTTATACTTGAAATAAACATGCATTAATGTAAATTGAACCTTAAATGCAACTCATAGAGTTGTTTTCACAAAGTGATATACAAAATCTAAACATTTTTTGCATAAATCATAAGAAATTGAACCATATTCGCATGTTTTTAAGTCGAATTTACAATGTGTCAAAAATGAGCAATAAAATTTAAGGACTCCGGCTCACCGCTAGGACAAAGAATGATTGGAGTCGAAATGTCTCGTAATAAATATATTTCTTTCAAATTTTTTTTGATAATTTATAAAAAAAAATACGAAAATTAAACTCATTACTTATTTATTTCTATAGGTTTGTTCATTTATTTACCAATGAAACTAATGCATATAGTTATAATTTTTTTTTTCGGCCTCCTTAATCCTTCCTAAATTTGGAATATTTGAATATAAGTATATATGTATACTTTGAAAAATATTCCAAATTCGAAGTCAAATAAAAAAGATGTAAAATAATAAAAAGAATATATATCTAAAGTAAGTACTGAAAATGTTGGCGTTATTGTTGTCAATTTTTCATATCGCACGGGTTTTTTGATGAAAGCTAAAAAAAATGTTTACTGCAGTTAAAATTAAATCCATTATATCTGCCTATTCCATATTTTAATAAACACACTAAAGAAGTATAATATTAAATAAAAACTATTTTTTAATAAAAAAAAACAATAAATAAAATTAGAAACAATAGCGTCTCCGCTAAACGGAACAGAATCAATCCACGTAAACCGAACAACTTAAGTGGTCATGCTAGAGAATGATTTTACGTTTAGTATAAGTGTCTTTATAAACTGTGTGCATTATAACCCCGGTTTTTGAATACGATTTCATTTGGAAAAAGTTTTAAAGTTGATTTCTTAATAAAATATCAATATTTAAAATAGAATGATGACAATTATATAATGATAATATTATTACTTAACGAAAATATGAAATTTCCATCCTTTTTTGCGTCTTAGATGTGTGTTTTTTGCAGTTTTTAAACGAGCACTGAGGCGTGTTTACCGTCGGAGCATTCGAGTGGTACTAAACTAAAACTACACCGCGATGTTGAGTTTGGTGGACTTTCAGTTAGGACATTTTTTTGTCACTGATTGTGTATCTAGTTCTTTATTAGTGATCGATGCCTTCAACAGATTTTTGTTGGCAGTCAAAGGCTTAATATTTCGTCGAAGATATTCACCAATAAAATATCAAAATAAAAGTCAACATTTAAACTGCAGCGCTTTCCGATGCCTGGGTTACTGGCTGATCGGGGGAAAATAATGAGGTCGTTTTTAGAGTCAGTAAAAGTCTGATATTCCCTCTCGCCCCACCCCGAACGAGAAAAGTAAAAGAACTTCTTCTTTTACTTCGGTTACAAAAGGTAATAAGGCCGACAAATAAAACGAATTACATCAAATTAGCTCAATAAGTTGTTGGTACATGGCAAACGTTTTCGAGTTAATTTATTCTTTGCAGGAAATTGTTTTTGTTTAAATTACTAATTGTTTATCTTTGTAATGCCATGTAAAAATCATTATATTAATTTTAATTAAGTTAATACATTTGTACGCTGTTAGCCACAGCAAAACATGAAGGTTATTGTACTCCTTTTAACATCCTACATTACAACATATAAATATGTATCTTGTTCTGTATACTCGTGTTTTACAAATAAATTATCTTTATCTTTATCTTATCTTAAGAACAATTTAAACTCGACTAAATTTTTTTATGAACTTCTCTACCCACCACAGACTAAAAACATACTATTTCAAAACGTCAAATCAAAGTCAGCATTCAACAGTGATCTGTCAAATAAAAACAAAATTAAAAACACGCTATTTAGGAGCGTCTACCAAATTGTTTCAATAAAAAATTTAAAGTGTTATAAAACTTATATAACCGCGAGCCTTATTGTTGACATGTCCAAAAGCACCAAACTTCTTTATGTGAAAGGGATGAATCTCGTAAGTAACCACATCCAAACTAACATCTTCGAAATTGTGAGGTGTTTTTGACGATTGGTGACTTTGTTGTTTACAGTCGGAGTCTGAAAGCGATGATGATCAATGGGACGACAAGAAATTAAATGATGCGTACGACAAAGCCGTAAGGATTGCTAACGTTGAGGTAGCGAAGCGCGTGGCTATGTCTACAAACACTCAAGGTTTAAATAGTGACCGTAAGTTGTTTAGTCGTGTCTTGTACGAGACATATTCTAATATAGACGTCCTTTAAGTTTCCTACATATTAAGTACGCTTCATTTGTGTATTTAGTTGAATTATTTATGAAAATTATGTATTCGAAGTCACTTTGTATTGTAATGCAGCCCAATATAAAAGAAATGAGTTCATGCTTTAAATAAAATCCATTTAAAATACATTGAATTCATGGAGTTACAAGTAATATTTGTATATTTATTATACCATTTTTATTTATTTAATAACATAACATAACCATCATCATAGGAATTGAAACACAACACAATAGCGCATTCCAACACCCAATATTAACAGAATACAATTCCATTATATATTTATTTATTTCCACAGTAGAATTTTTCCCAAAAAAAGAGAAGTTAGCAACTAAATCAAGCAAGAAGAAATCTGTCAGCCCGTTTGTCAATACAAATGGGATTGGCGATGATAGATCAAAAGAAACTGGTTGGAAACCCAGTATGCCATGCCGATTGGTGTATGCTGATGATGGCTTGGAGTATGAAGCTGTTATAGTTAGAATTGTTGATGATAATGACTGTGTTGTCAAATATTTAGGTAAGTTATTATTGTTTTGTTATAGCTTCATACTCAAAACTAAGTTGTTACTTTACTTATGTATTTAATGCTTCATGCACTAAATGAAATTGTACACAAGGTGGATCTAATACCATGGACATTCTCTATCGATCAAACCTTTGGGTGATGCAGTGATAAAGTAATTGGAGGTGCACAAAGCGAGTAGAAGAAATACCAAAGAGTTTAAAGTATCTGCCAATGCCAAAACCCCAATTATAGCTATCAAACATATAATAAACTCACATAATGTCATATGTGCAAGAAACCATAAATCATTGTTTACGTAAATACTTGGGAAGATTTGATTATTTTGATCTCTATTTCTCGTAAATAGTATTTGGGGCTATAATCTGTACATACACCTATATTTTTTCTTGGTTACAAAAAATATTGTAAACATTATAAAACCTGATTAAAAATGTTAACATAATTAATGTTCATGTGTACCATTAAATTTGGCACTATTTGAATAACAAATGTTTTATTCAAATAGTGGCAAATTGTTATATTAATTAATTACATTATTAATAATGTAAAGCAAGTAAGAATCTGAATAATAAACCCTAAAAATATGTTTTAATAACTTCATTAAAAAACTTTCAGGCTATGACAATCAAGAACTGGTTTCAATAGATTCTCTAAAGCCGTCTCTGGGCAAGGAAGCTAGAGCACAACAGATAAGGGATGCAAGGAGAGAACAGACTGAAGATAGCTATGGTAGCCTATCACCTAATGTTGATGGAGTAGAGTGCAGTGACAGGGTGCCTAGCCCTGATAGCATAGGTATACTAGATTTCATGTTTTCTTTTATTAATGTTACTTTGTGCCTAGCTTTGTTAATCCTGAAAAACTTCTGATTTATTTCCTTGCGGGATCCAAGACAGTCAATAATGTCCGTGGGACGCCCACTGGGCTTCAGTGTTCCAGTGTTTTCATGGTTGTATTTACTGTAGACCCCGGCTTACAAGAGTTGCAGTGGTTGTGGGAGGTTGAGCTGGGTTTGTCCCATGAAAAAAAACATATTGTAAGAAAAATGTCATTCTCAAAAAGGCACAGTTTAAAGTCAAATCATTTATTATTTTATTTATTTACTTTTGAATGTTGAACAAAAATAAACAAAAGTTCAATGTGTGTGTGTGTGTGTGTGTGTCAGATTGTCCTATTTGCTCATTTCAAGGTGTGAAGCAAGAAACTCTATGGTTACTCTTTTTTAATCAGTTTCACAATTCATTGCTTAACTGACATAATTTAGTTGGTTCTATTAAGCCTACCTTATTTATTATCATCCTGTAAAAAGTTACACAATATATAATATAGCAACCTTTGGTTATTTCTATAATATGTATGTGCCCACTGTTATATGATTACTATTCTATTGCACAGGATGAAAATTGTTAATAGCTTAATTAGAGGACAGACGGACAGTCAAACATTTTGAAATTTTTCATTTTTTGTGCTTGACGTGCAGAAGTGCCTATTGTGGTCTACTTGAAATAAATGATTTGATTTGATAATACCCATACATTTATAATTTTCAATGACTATGACACAATTAAAAGATAATAAATCTTTTTGTGCTCTTATGCCTATTATCTCACTTAACTAAACTCGTTTTTAGTTGACTAATGATAAGTATCAAGAGTGAGAAAGTTTATTAAATTGATCATGTTTTCATTTCATTACAGAAAGGTCATCTCAGAAAAAGAAAAAACCATCTAAAAAGAAAAAGAATCAAGCAAGAAGTATCAATATCAATGGGTTTGAGCTACCAGAGATGCCACCCATACCTAATTTGTCTATGTTGAGAAATGTAAGTAGTTTTTTTTTATTGTGGTAGGTCGAAAAACGAGCTGTAGGATAACCTGATGGTAAGCAATCAGCGCCGCCCATAGACACCTGCAACAGCAGAGAAGTTACGAGTTCGTTGCCGACCTTTTGGGGATTAGGGATTCGGGGATTTAGGGATTGGGCCTCGGGTAACCTCACTCACACGGCGAAACACAACGCTGTGGATGTTTCACACCGGTTTTCTGTGAGGCCGTGGTATCACTCCGGTCGAGCCGACCCATTCGTGCCGATTCCTGACTCTCCCACACTTAACTGTTCCACCATTTCTCCACACTTATAACTTTCTGGCTTTTTTTGTTTATTAGATGTGGAAGACTATTTTTGGTTTTGTGTCATAACTATTGTTTGACATACCTAGGTACTAAATTTGTTGTTAATAACGATTAACTCTCTCGTTAATTAACTGAAAAAAGCTCAACTACTTTAAATAATTGAGAAAAGCTGCGTGATGTCGAATTTGAACTAGTGGAGTTTTTCTCAAAGTTGTTTTCATGATGTGATTTAAAACATTATTTATTCTGAAATATGTAATTCCATTATTTCAGCAACTAGGCTCAATGGAGATGCCGATGCCGCCGCCGCCAATGGCTTTCTCCATGGACCGTTCAGACACTGAGGAGCAAGCCATATCCTCGATGCTGCTCAGCTGGTACATGAGTGGCTACTACACAGGGTTATATCAAGGACTAAAAAGGTAAAAAACATTACAACACACTAAAACTACTTATTTTATTTTATTTAGAAAAATTCAATTTTCTTCAAACAACAACGCGGCAATTATTTGCGACCCCATCTCCAGCACAGGTCTAACGGCTACAATTTTTCATAATTCACAGGAAAAGATTTTTCCTCACTTAAAAAAAATCTACGTAAACTACGAGTATTAACTATTTTGCAAACAAGCTACGAAAATTTTAATTGATTCGACAAAAGAGAGTTAGTAGTAGTTCGGCATTATTTTCGGTAGAGGGCACTTTTACATTTTATCAAAATGTATGAAACTTACGAATCTATGTATGATGTCTGTAAACCATCGAGTTAATGAATTAAACTACGTAGACGTAGGTACACACATACTTATGTACGAATACGAATGTACCTATATACTTTTAGCTTAGTCTATTGCGTAAAACACGAGTATTATCTGATTTGCAAATAACGATATTAAAACATGAGAGTAGGTAGCCGGGGTTGCGGGGTACCTAAGCGCAATGAGGCACCGCGACCTCAGCCCAGAGCAGGAGAAGGAACAGGGGGGTTTTTAGTCAGTAAGAGTCTGACACTCCCTCCCGCCCGGCCCTGGGCGGGAAAAGTCATTTGATGATTTTTCCCTCACTAAAAAAAAACATGAAAGTAGGTAGAATTTTGGATTTTTTTTATACAGATGGCACTGTTGCCTCAAATCGTAAAAAAATAAAAAAGATACGAATCAACGACACAACGTAATACGTTTCATAGCTTTTAAAACGAAACTAGAAATACATGCTCTTTTCGTTCTCGTCGTCTCCTTTTGTTATAATTTTTAACGAGTGTAGCACGCAGAGGCGTGCTACACTCGGCCAGGTGATTAGTGTCCGGGAATCGAACCTGCGACCCCTTGACCAGCCACTGCACCAACCGTACTATCAAATTGTGTAAGACAAGACAATATTCAATCTCAATGTATCAGACTCATGAAGAAGACCATAAATCATTTGTTAGTTTCAATGTGTGTAGTGCCTTCCAAGGCCTTAGGGCTTGACACTATGGGAGAGACGATCTCCGGCCACCGTAAGCGCGGGTCTGCGTACGGCGAGTAAGGGTTGCTCGCCGCTCGACCAGATCCAGACCCGAGCGTACGGCGCGAGCCTCAAAGAGCCAATAGACCACCACAGACGGGGCCCTAAAGGGCTGATGTTCAGCCGGGGTGGAGGGGTAAGCGCAATGAGTCGCCTCGGCCCAGAGCAGGAGAAGGAACGAGGGGGGGGGGTTAGTCAGTACGAGTCTGACACTCGCTCGCCTTCCCTGGTCATTTGATGATTTTCCCCTGACAATAAAAAGGGCTTGACACTATGTACCTATCTAGATATGAAGTGTGGGAGGACCAAGCTTCGGCACGAATGGGTCGGCTCGACCGGAGTGATACCACGGCCTTACAGAAAACCGTTTCGCCGTGTGAGTGACGTTACCGGAGGCCCAATCCCCCTCCCTCCTACCCCATCCCTTCACTAGGAAGGAAAAAAATTTGCACTTTAATCTAACTTAAAAGATAGGATGGCTTACATCTCAATTTATAGTCACAATAATATCAACGCGTGGCTGGGTCTGCTAGTTTATTTTATAATCTAGGCACTATTACTAGTTTTCTCTCTTTTGAGGGGAAAGTGTGACCGAGACCGAACACACCCCATTATTTTTCTTGCTCCACTCCATACTGTGATGCAAGAGTGTAAAGTTGCTAAAATATTTTCTTTTTGTTACAGGGCAAAAGATGGGCGAAGTAACTAGTTAATCGAAATTGTGTGTTTCATAAAAGAAAGGAATGTTATATTAGATAAAATAAAAATTGTTTTCTTTTATATTTTTTTTATTTTTTAGTCTCACATAAAATGAACTACAGTAAAAATATAAAATGTTACCAGTAAAGAAAATAATAATAAATAAATTTATGCCTCCTGATTTATGTGTTAAATCACTATGTACAAATATACATTTTGAGTCTATTTTTCATTCATGACTTCACTTTTTCTGTGTTCAGATTGGTGGGATTTATTTTAAAAGTGTTATTGGTTTCATCACTCAAATTACTTTTCAGTACGTACGATTAAGTTTCATCCAGGACTATCATTTTAAAACTGTCACGAATAATGCAAAAAGAAAAAAATAAATTATAAAAATAACAATTATTACGCATATTTTGAACATTTTACAGTATGTCCAAATTTGTATTCTCGATTACTTGCAAAATGGCGTATTTAAAATATAATCTCAGATCGTTATATCGTCTTTATCGTATTCTGCTTATAAAACAAAACTGCTGACATTTGAAACTGTAATAAATCTCGCGCTAAAACATAACTTTTTTATTTTAGTCGATTAATTAAAAGCATCGATTTTATTATTCGACCTTGTGCAAAATATAGATTGTGAAACTTCTAATTTATTAAATCTTAAAGTTAGTATTACTAAAGCTTCTTGAAAGTAATTTGACTTTTGAATTGAGTAATCGATTGCACTTTAATCGATTAATCATAATTTACAAGGACGATACCGAAGATTCTTATGAAACCTAATTAAAATAAAAACATGGCAATTTTTTAAAACATAAACTAGAGAAACAATATTTACAGTTACCACAATATACAAAAGAACAATATGTTGTGGGCGTATTATGGCCCTTTAGAATAGATATCAGCTTAGGCTGAATACTGTGATACCTTTGTTTTGAATTTTCTTGATGCCCAAATTTTTTTATGATGCTGTCAAAATAGATAACTTTATAAAATTGAATAGAAAATGGAAAAAAAAACTGAATTCAAGTTCATGAATAAGATTGAATTTTAAACCAATTGATTCCTTGTTTGGCAACAGAATTTTTCAAAACAAAAGAATTGAATATTATAAATTAATTCATAAAAAACACATTCAGTTCTCAGATGCTCGAACAAACTCCCTCTTTAGGGACACACACACATATACACGCAAAACATCAGTATCAGACATACGCCAACTTCGAATAACTTCGTTTCGCATAATTTCACAGTAAGTATCAGAACTGGCAAGTCGGATAAAGTCGATATATCGCAAAATATTGGAACGATTAGTTTCAAGGGATATTTATGATTATGTTATTTATTTATAATAGTTTTCTTTTTGGTTATTTCTTTTTCGAGTTAGGGCTAATTTTACAATGGTTAGATAAAAGTTTTCTGGGCAATAATAAAATTATGATGCTGTCGCGTCAGAATGTTTGTATAAGACAGTGACAGCAACAATTTTATTCCTCAGATAACATTTATCTGGCTATTGAAAAATCAGCCCTTAACTGACTATATTGATTTAAGTCTAATATTCATATACTTATGAAGGTACACAAAACATCATAAGTCGTCATAATTTTATTAAAATACACATTTCATGTTAATTTAAACATCTTTCGGATTATATCTGAATATAAATTGCAACATAAATTCCCTCTATTCATATCATATATCAATTTTACGTATAACGTCAAGGCTTCGAATAATTCGTATAATGTTATTCGAAGCATCGATGTTATAATGTTCGAATAAGTTCGTGTTGACACGTCACGTCTCATACAAGAGTGCTGAGTTCGTGCGTGTCATGACTCAAGTCGATGGTAGCAGCTGGAACGCCAGGAGTAGCAGCTCCTTCGCCTGGAGGCGTGCTTGTTGGAGGCCTGGAACGTAGAAAATCATGTTATAAGTAAGTACGTATGTAAGTATTAATATTACACCTTTCAATCTTGGCAATTCAAGACACAACAAATGAACAATAGGTGCGCTAACGCCGGCGTTTCCTTGAGGTTTGATGAATTAATAGATAATATAATATCTATCTTGGTTATATTCTTAATTGGGTAAGTACCCCACACTTTTTTAATTTAACAGAACAATAAAAGAAATTATTACCTACACAGTAGCAAAAACTGAAACTTAGGATTTAACTACCCAATTTTCTAAAAGTTCGTAAGCTTGAGGTACCGCGACCTCAGCCTGGGGCATAAGGAACGAAGGGGGTTTTTAATCAATAGCAGTATGACACTCCTTCTCGTCTCACCCTGGACGAGAGGTCATTTGATTACTTTTCGGTTTTCGGCTTTTCGGGTTCTTTGGGAGAGAGTGTTAGGCTATAATTGGCTAAATCCACCCGGTTCCTTCTCTTGCTTCGGGCCGGAGTACAGGATTTGTAAACTTGCATTAGATGATAATATTTTTAACATTGTTTATAAGCACTTAGTAAAAGAAGAGAAAATGTATGAAATTCTTATCACCGATTATTACATATTTTATACAATTATTATTGAAACTACTACCTCTTCGAAGCGAAATAAACTTTTCAACCAACCTTATAATATAAGGACCTCCTTGTTGCAACAGCGTGATCGGATGCGTGTACGCACCACCGGCCGTCATACTGTGAAAGCTTAAGTTCCCCATTCCAGTATTGTTCAAGTGTCCATTGCCAATTATTACTCCATTGGACGCATTTAGATTCTGTGTGTTTGTTGTAGTGTTGAGTTCTTGAGTCCGGAAGGCCTTAACGAGGTTCGTTTTTTCCTTCTGCCATACGAACACGTTGTGGACCATCGCACAGCCACAGAAGATGATGCCAACGCCAATGAACACTGACGTCACTATGGCCGGAGTTGAATGGAATTGTATAAAGGTGTAGAGTATTATGCCTGGAATTGAGAACGGTGTTATTAGTCATTTGATTATCTGTAAGTAAGCGTGATTTTCATATGCGTAAAGGGTCCGTTTTATTCCCCGGAGGATATCGCTAATTTGCTGTAACTCAGCGCTACTTCAGATAATAAAACCATTGCTGCTTAGGCACATGTACCTAAACATTTGAATAACGAGGAAGTCAAAAAAGTTATGTAAGAAGCTCAGAGTCGTTACTATGATACCAACGTCAGTCTGACGTATTATTATAGTGAAAGAACACATCGAGAGGAAACCTGAAATTATAACTTCTCATTAAAAATTTGAAACTAATAATCTGCCTTGAGCAACCTCGGTGATTAATGCTCAAACCTTTTCTTTATGAGAAGAGGCATTTACTAAAGCAGTGGGCATTTACTAGTTGATGAAGTAAAGTGTGATGTGAACGTCAGTAATTTGGCATTTTGGCATTTAATATGTAAATTCTATAATTCAAAAAAACATTTTATTCCTCATGTAAACAACAAGACTATACCTACTTTATGAAGTCGTGGGAAATAAAATAGTGGGCCTACTTGCAGCAGGAAACACAAAGTAATTATAAGGAACGAACCTGTTAAGAATACCGGTATGGATATAAAGAAACCCCCGACGGCGCAGACTCTCGTGATGGCAGATTTCTGCAGGTATTTGTTTGATCTGGAATAAGAAAAAAAAACTTTTTAGTAAATAAGTACCTGTATAATTACTATTAGATCTCTGGGAAAGAATTTAAATTGTTCTAGATGATAATTATGACACTTCTTCAGACTTAAATGTAGGTACATTACACATATTAAGATTAGACATACTTAGTAGGTGCATTTTAAGGATTCTGCAACCGTTCTCCGAAAGTTCACCGAAAGGACGTTTCGTTTTTGAGAGATTCGTCGATAGAACGTTTCACCTATGGATGTTTCGCCGACAGAATGGGTTCGCATTTGTTAGTTTCGACGACAGGACTTTTCAACTATGGAATATTCGCCGTCAGATCGTTTTGTTTACGATTGTTTCGACATGGCTTTTTCACTATTAAACTACAAAGCCACCAAAAAGCTACTAGCTTGCTACAAGACATGTAGAAAGACAAAGTCTTAGAACGGTTGCAGAATCCATTTTAAGAATACCTAATGATCATTCCTTATTTGTGTTTTATAAACTGATGACGATTACTTATGGTGGAAAAAGAAGAAATTCAGATCAAGGGATAGATCTCCAACTTTGCCAGAGTGAAACTCTCTCACAAGTCACACAGATGTTTTACTGGACTTATATTTTTTTATGTGATAAATCGGCAAACGAGCTAACGTATTAGGTACCTGGTGGGAAGCAATCGGCGCCGCCCAAGGACACCCTCAACTACGGAGGAGTTATGAGTGCGTTGCCGACCTTACTAACAACCTTATTGAAATTGATACAAATATCTATTGACAGTTTAACATGCTAAGCCCGCATTGTCGGAAATATAGACTTAAGGAAAGTACTTAGGATGTTAATTTAAATGATCATTGGGCTGAATATCAACTTTAATACATTCACACGGCCCAAAAATCTGATTAAAACATATTTAAAGAGATCGCTATTGCAAGATATGATTTCAAGACAGCTCGATTTTATAAAAACAACTTTTACATCGTAAAAAAGCAGTAACAGCATGCCCCAAATCCACAATCGGTTTAAAAATCGAGCCCGTTTGTCTCAGAAAAGAATTTCGTCCAATTTCTTCAACAAAAATGCAGAAGCTTCAATTATTTAATCGATTGTATATTATAAGAACTCGATTTTAATCGAGAACTCGTTTGGACAGTCATGTAACGGGCTCAGCACCTGTTCATCGATAACGTTGCTAAATTGAGAAGTCTGTTTTTTAAAGTGTGATTTATTTGAATGATGGCTTTTGAATTCGGTCAGTTACATTCGTTGTATGTCAGTGACACTGTCTGATCATTGATTACAACATTGGTGTTATCGAGAAATTATACCTAAACTTGTTTGGAATGTCTTGTTGAACTTGCGTTTTATAGTGTTTTACTATGTAGGTATTTCAATTGGACAGGTTGCGGACCTTTTTTTATGCAATAGGTCGTAAGCAATCAGCACCGCCCATAGACACCCGAAACAGGAGTAACGAGTGCGTTGCCGACCTTTTTGGGTTTAGGCACAGATTACTGAATAGTTACTACGTAAGTTTAAGGATTTGGAGATCTGGGGATTGTCCGAAATAACTAGATATTAATGTTGAGAGGCTCTTTATGCTTTTGTAAATTCTTATAAAACGTTTTAAATACTTTGCATGAACTGTTTTTTTTTAATATTGACCAACTAAGTTAGTATTTAATTAATGATGTTAAGATATTCTCAGATTCCGACAAAATGAAGTTACCATTCGCGATCTTCAACCTCCTTATTTGGCTTTGCCCAATAGAGAAATTTTGACACTATTGACTTCAAAGCAAATCGGTTTTTCGAAGAAACACTCACCAGAGAGAAAATCCTAATGTACAGCAATGTTAAAAAGTTACCCGGTACTAGGCAAAGCCGCTGGCTGAAGTTAATATGCAATATTTACATTACTCAGTTTAAAAAACGGTTACCAATAACAGATGGCAATTACAACGGTTTTAACGACAACGGTGTTCTACGCTTCAGTGGTTTTAAGGTAAGGGTGACAAAGAAACCTTACATTACCTGTTTGGTAATATACAGAACAGCACATAAAACTATCCTTCATTATTCAGTACAATTTCAACTTTATAAATCGGCTATAAGGGTTCAATGTGTATTGAAGATGTTGACAGTTTAGGGTAGATGGATTTGCTGTGTGGTTCTTCTATCGTAACCACAGTTTTGTCGATACGTTTTTTTAATGTCATAGGGTTGTGTACCTATTTCATGAGGGTGGATTTCGTATTCCATTTAGACATATTTTTGTTGTAGAGTTACCACCCCACAAATAAAAAAAAACTTGTTCCGTGTTCCGTATTTAAACTTCCTCTTTCCATAACAACTGAACGTTTTACTTGCACTTCTGTGTGTACCTACTTGTATGTTTTGTTTTTTTTTTCGTTTCTTGACCTAAGTAGGTAGAACCTCCTTTGACACATATTTTAGACGGTTATTAATTTTGGTCTATTTTGTATATGTTCATATAGCTGTTGTAATTGTGAGACATTCTAAATTTAAATTATTGATACCGCGACAAGACCGCAACGCGCACGCTGATCATGAATAACAACCCCGTTATGATTAAAACTAGCTTTTCTAAACTAGAGCTGTTCTCCGTTAGATAATTCACGTGAATAAGTAACTTAACTTTAAAAAAAATATAGGTCTGTACGAAAATCCTAACTCCTTTTACGTTTTATAACTTGAGCCAACATTTATGGATTGCATAAAAATAACTCAATATTTCACAAGTCCAGAAACATTAAACCAAACACGCACAGATAAACACATTACGAATTTATATGTAGGTAGGTAAAATATGATATAATATGAAAATATTTACCTTACCTAGTTTCACCTCGATTCCCGACCGAGTTTGTTTAATTTACCTAATGCGTCCGCTTGCGCAAATGTGGTTAAAAATAACATTAAAAAAAATCGACTAAAAAGGAGTTGTATTTACAAAAAAGTTTTATTATGAAACTCGTTAAAATGTTTGCCATAGTTTATGGTTATGATCGTAGTGTATGGAACTTGCAACATAGGTTTATGTTACTGGTGATGTAGGTAGGGAAAATCTGCTTTGCTAATGGTAACCAAAGGAGTTACGGCGTTGTTGGCCTTATAGGGATAAAGGTTTCGGATATTTAAGGATTGGATGGAGTAGGGGGAGGGATTTAGACTCCGGTAACCTCACTCACACGGCGAAACACCACGGTGTGGTTGTTTCTCGCTGGTTTTGGTGAGGGTGTGGTATCACTCCAGCCGGCTCTTACTTATGAAGAGTTTTAGTCGAATAGCCTTCGAAAAATCAAGAACGGTTAATGTATTTTCATGATATTTGTTTTGTATGTTTTGGCTTCTCACCCAATATATTTAACAGAAAAGCTTTAGCATTAACTTGGTAGACGTATACCTTGATTTTTTTTTAAGCACCTAACAAGTATTATCTCTCCATCTCCGAAAACAAAAAATAATCCAATTAAGTAATCTCATTTCAAACAAACTTTATAGTTTTATCAATGACAGTGACAGACATGACAGTTTTTTTTTTTTTTTTTGTTCACAACACCTAATTTGTTGTCTGCCTACCTCCGTTTACATAAAAGGCGATGGCCTACAGACCTAGTCAAATGATTTACATAGTGCGTTGGACTATTGTGACATATCGAGACAGACTTGATTTAATTGCTTCGCCATAATGCAGTGTCTTGGCACCGAAGCAAAATCAACGGGGAAAATCATCAAATTACTTGTCTCGACCTAGGACGGGGTGGATGGGAAAATCAGACCATTACTGACTAATTACCTCCTCGTTCCTTCTGCTCCAGGCAGGAGTCGCGGTCCATCATCATGAGTTTTTTGTTTTGATGTTAAAATAGCTACGAATTAGCCCTTGGAAGGCGGTAACACTATGTCTTACAAAACTTCATATCATAATTCGCTTTCAACTCACAAAATACATCTCCAAAAAACTCTATAAATTTCGTTCTTAAAGAGACTTTCGAAACATTACTTCTCGGGAATTGAATAATTCTTCAAACTTCGAAATTGCAGCACCTAGCATGGAGGTTACAGAGAAGGAATCGCTGTAGAAAATAGTGTCCCAAAAATATGTAGGGACAAGTTAAGTAAGGCGCTGCGATCGCCTAGTTATCTCAATAAAAGCTGGCTATGGTGCGCTAATTTGTACATCATTCCACTAACTTCATCTACTTGCACTCATAAACAGCTTACTTCACACTTTTTTCAACATTCCGTTTATCGAGGAAGGCTATAGGCTGTAAAACATCACTACTTACACAAAAATATTTAGCCAGTTTAAAAAATCCTAAAGTTAAAAACTATGTCTCATCCGAAAACCCAGCTCGATAATTGGGTCGAAGTTTCTGCATTGTATTGTTATCCTAATTAACTAATGAGCAGTGATAATGACGGTTGATAAGATCGTATCTATTTCACAAAAGTAGTTACCTACTTCTATTTTGTATTATCTAAGGAAGATACGTTTGACAATTATTTATGACACCCATTCTGGGCTCAAACTATTCAGTGCTTTATCTTCGTGCTAAAATAACAAAATAGGTCAGTATGCAATTAGACAAAAAAATCGAAATACTTACCGCATTCTTTTCTTTTCTTTCATACATCGCTTTCGTTTTTTTTTTCAACGATACGTAAAAGAATGAGCACTAATTAATACGCTTGTTTATAGCGAATTGACGATTCAAACTTAATTTGAAAAAGAGTTTTAATCTCAGAATATAATAATAGCACTAAAAAGGTCAGATTACTTTTACTAAATGCTTTGTAATTTCAAGAGAGGATTGGCAGAATAACTTAAAAACTGTTCTGTTTTAAAGCCATACGCTTACTTGATCATTTAAGACTCTCTTCAAAACCCTACAATCGAATTAAAATAATAACAAGTCAGTCTTCTATAGCTTCATAAAAATCATGTATGCTTGTTATAAGAAACGGTATATTTGATAATA